TGATTGATTTTGGGATTGGTAAATATTAGATGACCCAACATGTCTGAGTGAACTAAACTATCATAATTATAGTGAACGATATTTCTCAACTAGCCCAGCACCATAGTGCCCGCTGAGTTCCCCAGCACAGGGTAGGCGCGCATGGGCCACGTGGTTGCAATACCTCACTCGATGGGGGTTGACGCATGATTTTTTGAAGCCACAGCAAATGTTGTTATATTTTTTGATGCAATCTCCCCAGCAGCAATCGTATTTTTTAATCTCATAACAAGAGCGATGCCTTCACCGAGTGAATGAACAAACGTTTGGCTTTTCCCATGGAAAGGGCAATCAACATTAGATAAATATTGATCCATAGACAGCAAATGTTGGGATGTGAAAACTACCTGATTGTTGATTCGCCATTGCAATGAGCTTGCAAGATTCAGCACTATGATTTTTTGATTAGCGATCAAGTGTCAATGGTGCGGAGCCATCAAACAGCCACCACTAGTGGATTGCTGTATATCAACTTATATCAATTATGTCACCATTCTTGGTGGTTAAACCGGTTAAACATGTTCAACCCCCTTTCTTGATGGTGAGTGCCCCTAAGCCTCTAAGCCTCGACTCGCGTCGACCAGTCGAAATTCTGGGCACTGCTGAACTTGGGCCAGCAGATTTTCTCATGATAGCCGATAGCCCAAGAAAAGAAACACCATATATATATAGATAATAATAAAATATATATATATATATGTATATATGCATAGTTTATATTTAAATAATATATCATATATATATATTATATACTGTAACTTATGTATATATATATATATTATACAATGTATAGGTGGATTCCCTAGAAAAGGAAATGAACCACTTGGACAACAAAATCAGCTGAAAATCCAGGTTGTGCCCATAATTAGTCAGCTGAGTAGGCGTGTAACTCCAAACCAACTTAGCCAACTATGGGGCACTACTTTGTAGTGTTTACAAGGTGGTGCTCCTAATATAGCTAACTTGATTCATAACTCTAATTTCACTAGGACTTATGGTAGATATGTCGAAATAGTTAATGGCTTTAGAAACCAACATAACATAACTGACGGGGCACCACATTGTATGAACCACCTTGCACTGTCTTGTTGAACCCATGATTTTTAGCAGCTTGGAACCGTCCTAGAAAACCGAGAAGTGCACTTGCCGCGTAGGAAAACTCCGAGTTGAGCTTCGCATCTGTACATATCCTTGGGACGCGCGCTGCGGAACCACGATTTTTCAATTCTGGATGCTGAGAACACATTCTCAATAAGGTTGGAACATGAATCATTGGATTGGTTGTCAGGATGTTTGAGGGAACATTAACAGGAGTCGCCACATTGGTTTGGTGAGGTTTTGACCATGGTTTCCTGTAGATTTTCCAACCAATCCAGTGAATCATTTTTTTGTGGTGTAAACAATAACTGGTTGGTGGTGCAATGTGCCCATCTTGAAAAATGATGGAGTCCGTCAATGGGTTTCGGATGACATCCCATATGCGAAATGGACAATAAAAGCCATGTTTGAAACCACCAACCAGTGATTATTGAACATTATTAACCATGATTAACCATCATTACCCCATACTAAACCAATGTTTGAAACCACCAACCAGTTTTTTTGTGGCTCCATAGCAAGCTGTGAAGATGGAAAGGTATCATCACCTGTGGAAATCTCACGGAATTTATGGATGATCTTCCTTGGGCTTTGGCTGAAATCCGCAAAAAAAAACACATGAGTAGCGGAGAAAATTATACACATATATATATTATATTATGTTATATGATATTATATCATATTATATTATATTATATTATATTATAGTATATTATATTATATTATATATATGTTAAAATGTGTCGTTTAATATCAATATTATAATATTATATATATATATTATATATATATATATATTATGTTAAATTTAATGCCATGCACAAATTAGGGTCGTCTCCTATCGGTTGTGAGAATTTCAGTATTGCCGGAGGTATCACAAATGGGGTATCGGTATAGGGTCGTCCCCAGTCGTCCCGTATTGGTTATGAAGGTTTTGTGCAACCTCGGAAAGGCCAAGGCGAAGCAAGACTAAATTACTGGTTGGTGGTATACCCCTCTGAAAAATATGAGTTCGTCAGTTGGGCTTATGACATTCCCAACTGAATGGAAAGTCATAAAATTCCATGGTTCCAGTCACCACCAACCAGATAATTTGGTGGGTTACTCACATGTTCCCCCATTTCAACGAATAACCTGGGGGCTGGGGGAACAGATTCAGATGTCCATCCCTTGAGGCTCCAAACTCCTTCATCCTCACCACATATTTTTGCCTCAGCTGCCCAAATCCATAAGATCCTCATGGCAACCGCTCCGCCGCTCCGCCATGTCATAGGGAAAGGCCATCCCGAAATCCAGGTACATCCCCGGGGCCCCATCATTAAGTGATCGTTAATACATCCCCAAGTGCTTGGTGAAACAACTAAAGCTAGGAGTACATGACCCAAGTTCTTCGTTGCGTTAAGCATATTATAATTTTGGTGATGGCAGTGAGATTTCACCATTGGTATTCACCTGGCCATGGGAAGGCTCACCCATTTAAGATTCTCTCGTATCATCTTGTATGTCCCGTGATTTTCTATTATAGTTTGCAATATTGGCGCATATTGTCCCATATGTTGTTGTTTTTTCCAGTCGTTTACACTATATAGATTCCAATATTTCCGATAGTGTCCCGTATGATCCATATGTTTCCATGATTTCCTAATATGTTCCCAATATAATCCATGAGTTTCCCTATATGTTCCCAAATATTCTCATATTTTCCTCTATATGGGTATGAGTCAAAATTGGTTACACCAGTAGAGGTTTAATACTAGACTTAGACCGAAATCTGTGGTCGGGCTTAAATTTTGACCCATAGCATCCCATAGCCATATTTTATGGAGGTTTCCTAAGTCACGGTGCTATATAACCCTATAAATCATCCATGTTTAAAAGCGATTTTCCATGCCCATATGCAACCCATGGTGCTGGAATATGCACACCAACCTTTGCCGTCCAAAATCACCCAGTCATGTAGGTTTTTATATACCAGCACAATGGGTTGCATAGGGGATGGAATCAGCCACCCATCTATTTGGGGTACCATCTCCAGAGTTGCCCACAGCAGCCCCAAGTACCGCACAGGCTGATGAGGCCTTGATCGGGACCTACCTCACAGATGGTCGCCTTCGGAGGTGTGGAGATTTTGGACAAACAGATGCCAACACAAAAATTCCAGAAAGACCCTCCAAGTGCATAAAGCATCGGTATTTTTTTGCAGTGTTTTGTCATCATGATTAATGAAAATTCACTCCCCCACGGGGTCCCGCCCTTCAGAAAAAAGTTGGATTTTTTTCTGGTGAAATTCACTTCTAGTGTGGGGAATTGAAGATGTTTGGATCTTGTCGATCTTGTTCGGGGGATAAGGGGAAATGTACTGAATCTTTTTGGAACATTTCATTACCCCTTATATCATGACGAACAAAAAACCGTGAGTAGTGAATTCTGGTGGAATATCATGGAATATCATACTGTCTACTAGGATTCAGTGGATATTCCACTAGAAACAGTATGATATTCCACCAAATCTACCCCATATAATACTGGTGATTTGCCTTTCACTCGTCTACCTTTTAACTGGTGGACCTTTTTGGGAACGAACAAAAACGGAACCCACGGAACAGAAACAGCCTCTGCCGCTAGGGTGCCGCAATTGCTCATCAAAACCTCGTCGAGAGTCATCTGGTTGGGTTGCAAATCAAACACCCAAGCCATAATCATTAGATATATCTAATATCATTGGATACAACCCAAATATCTTAAATGGATTAAATAACCAGAGGCTACTTTTATAGATATGAGTATCCATATGCAACCCATGGTGCTGGTATATTGACCTACATGACTGGGTGATTGTGGACGGCAAATGTTGGTGTGCATTGCATATGGGCATGAAAAAAAGTCACTGGCCACTTCAGGAATCTAAATTGGAGGTAGCTACCATGTAGAAGGCCTGTGCAAGGGCTATTTAACGAAATATGGCCATGAATATAGTTAGGCAATAACACCCGCTGCCATCCGCTGCCCAACTACCATCATTCAATGCTTAGCAAACAAACATCACCTACTCCTACTGTACCTACTCCCTTCAGCAGTCGGTTTTGAATTTGATGATGCTTCGGAAGTTAGCCAGATGTTGTAACTAGTACAACTAGAACCACAGCCACACACAAATCATGATACACACTGAAAAACACCCAATGAAATATGAGGTTTCTCCTCCATGAAAACAACGAAACATCTGGAAATTGGGGTTGGGATTCCATACTCCAAAGCTGTTTCCAGTAGGGCCTGGACTCCTGGGCTGACCCCACCCAGCTACCATTGCTGCCATCTGCGTAGGTTTCCGCCACCTGCGCGGGCAAGGTCCCCATGCTGAAGCCGCTCGAGTATAAATAGTCTCTGTATATATGCATGTATTGAAGATCTATGCAAGGTATCAAATATATGATAATATATAATATGATAATATATGTATGATACAAATATTCTATATATAATCGTATGTGATTCTGTATGTATGTCTATAATATCATATAATTGTATATATAAATATTATCTCATATATTTCATATATTATTATACATTATACGCTAAAGATACATGAGATGGTCTAATATTACACAGTGGACATCATTGAAACTCCGTGCCATGTGTTCCTGCAGCGGCTGCAACAAGACGCACAAGTTTTTCTCTAAAGCTGATCAGCACACTATGGTTTTTCTAGAATCAATGTGGTCAGTTAGTTGGGCACAAAAAAAAATCAGGCTGGAATGAGCCGTGACATGTAGCCTCGCATGGCACTTAAACCACATAGAACTATATGGATTCTGAAGCTTAAAACTAGCAGGTTGGTCAACTTGAGACACCCAGGTGGTGGCTCATTGAAGACCAAAGCCCTCAGAATTTTCGATGGCCAAAAGCAAGGATTGCTCCTTTGCGAGGAGGGAATGCTTTCAGGTTAACATAGAAGCTGCAGAATTGGGTGCCAAATCGCAAAGTTGATGAAAAATCGAGACATCACCACTGGATATGCAGGTATGGAGGTTTCCTAAGTCATAGGGGGGGTTACCCCTAACTCATTCATTTTTTCAAAGGATTTTCCATGAAATAAACTTCGTCCATGTTTGGCCCCTTCTTAGGCAACGAAAAAGTGCGAATCTCTGGTTTGGGTTTTATAATAGCTATAATGAATGCATGTATGTATGTATGTATGAATGTATGTATGGATGGATGTATGTATGTATGGTATGGTCTTGCATTGCATTGTAATGTATTGTATTGTATGTATGTTAGTATAGTATAGTATGTATAGTATGTATAGTATGTATAGTATGTATAGTATGCAGAGTATGTTTGGTATGTATAGTATGTATAGTATGTATAGTATGTATAATATGTATATTATGTATATTATGTAGTATAGTATGTAGCATAGTATGTATAGTCTGTATAATATGAGTAGTATGTATAGTATGTATAGTATCTATGGTATGTAAAGTACGTATAGTATGTATAGCATGTATAGTATGTATAGTATCTATAGTATCTACAGTATGTACAGTATGTATAGTATGTATAGTATGTATAGTATGTATAGTATGTATGGTATGTTTTAGTATGTATAGTATGTATAGTATCTATAGTATGTATAGTTTGTATAGTATGTATAGTATCCATAGTATGTATAGTATGTATAGAATCTACAGTATGTATAGTATCTATAGTATGTAGAGTAAGTATAGTATGTATAGTATTTAAAGTATGTATAGTATGTTTAGTATGCATAGCATGTCTAGTATGTATAGTATGTATAGTATGTCTAGTAAGAGTAGTATGCAAAGTATCTATAGTATGTATAGTATGTAAAGTATGTATAGTATGTATAGTATGTATAGTATGTATAGTATCCATAGTATGTATAGTATGTACGGTATGTATAGTATGTATAGTATGTATGTACGTCTCTATGTATGTCTCTATGTATGTCTCTATGTATGTCTCTATGTATGTATCTATGTATGTGTCTATGTATGTCTCTATGTATGTCTCTATGTATGTGTCTATGTCTGTCTATGTATGTATGTCTATGTTTGTATGTCTATGTTTGTGTGTCTATGTATGTGTGTCTATGTATGTGTGTCTATGTATGTTTGTCTATGTACCTGTACATCCCCATTCAGATAATTCTGGACTGGTCATTTTGGATCATGTTCTAGCCCATGATTTGTCAATCACGCTCCTCCTTTTCTTGGTCGAACTATATACTCTCGGGTAGTCAAACATGGCAATGGAAAATCCATCATTCATAACTGATCTTCCCATCAAAACCTCCATTGATAGGAGATTTCCCATTGCCACATTTGATTTCCGAAGGCTACTCATGTCGTATTGGTGAAGAACATGTTTTTTAATCTTCTTGCTGTTTTGGCTCGGTGCTTCCAGTGGTTCTTCAGTTGCTATATCTTGCCCACCCTTTAATCGTGTGTCTGAAAATAGGTTAGCCGCAGTTAGCCTTAAATTCATTGCTTCAACATAACTATCCCCAGCTGGCTACCTCATATTTTGGATCCGCTCAATGTGGGGGTTTCCGAAGTCATGATTGTTAAAATCATCACCATTCATTTGAACAGATTTACCTATGAATGGTGATGATTTATTGTAAAATCTGGTAAAATGAATGGTAAAATTAGGTAACTCATCACACTAGATGGACCATTCATAGGTAAATCATGCAACTATGAAAATCCATTCAGATGGATATGTTAATATCCCATCAACAGGTAAATCAACTAAGTAGATGGGATATCAACATATCCATTTTCAGCAATGTCAAGCCCCGATCCAGGCTGGCCAGGTTTGACCTGTATATTCTGAACGTGATATGCACGGGATTTGAAGCCCCAGAAGTTGAGATAGAAGCCCTATACCTATAGTATATACCTATTCTATCCTATTCTTATATAATGTCAATTAATGTGTTATATTCACACATATATATATATAAAGCCACTTAGTTCACTGCAATAGTGCACCCGCGAGCAGTATCTACACCAGGCATCCATCTTTTTCGCGGACTCGTAGCGCGGCAGCAACCTAAAAAGATCTGTTGTGTCGAGAGCAAGCTGGAATTCCCGTGGTTTCTCAAAGCAATCATACAGATACATCCAAATCATACAAATTCGAAGATCGTGTATGAAAATCACACTTAAAATCTCTGAAAATAATGCCATTTTCAGCAATTTTTGGTGTCCCCGGGGGATGTCTGTGACAGCAACAGGTCCATAATTTTCTGACAGGGAAAGTTCCGGAATAATCTGAAAATAGATGAAACTAGGCCACAATTCTTGGAATGTTTCCTTGACAATCTGAAGGAAGCTCAGATGCACATTTCATATGTATATGGATATATTTTGACTATGATATATATATATATATTATATGTATGTATGTATGTATATATAATTACTGTAGTTGTTTATTAGCATCTGCAGGTATCCCCGTGGATGGTTGAATCCCCAGTTGCTGCCGCTGCCCTTGCATATATCATGAACCCTGGTCAATGCCAATGTTCTTAAAAACCATGGAACATGGTTTTATACCCGAAACACATCCCGTTACATCATATTCCCATCGCACTTTCAACGTGAGGTCCATATCACATTACCAGTCGGCCACGGAACAACAAGTTGAAGCAAGTCTGTGCTGTGGGCAATCGATTCGTCGGCTCCACACCGTGCTTCTGCACCTAACGTTTTCGCTGAAGAACACGCAAAAACAAGTTCACTGAATGGCTGAGAATATTGCATTTAATGGAGAGTTGACGAGATGTTCTAGGGATATAATACGATATAATGGGATATAGAACCAACACTATGATCTCTGGGTGTGTCTAAAAAACGGGGATTTGGCCCAATCTTATGGCCATTTTGCTGGGCAACAGGATGAGAAAAAGTGAATTCACTGAATTCAGGCATCTTGTATGTGAACCATGTTGGATCACAATGCAATTCTGTATCCGAAACCACATATTGCCAGTTTCAGGTCACCCAACAGGATGCCCCAACCAATCCCCCCACATTGTTCGGACAGAAAAAATGCCGATACGTTGTTATTTTAAAACATGAATTAAACATACACTGTTAATATCTGTTAATACACTGTTAATGCTGAAGATATCAATACATATTGTAATACATTTGTATACAATCAACCAAGCCATGAACAGCCCAGCGCACATCCCCAGTCTTCCAGAACACCAGGGCGCAATTAAGCGGACATCCTTCAAGCCACTCAGGGGTGCACCTAGAGTGAAGCATCGCCGAATCGCACCCGGAAATCGTTGGTGAATTCGCTGGCAGACACCATAATACATGGGTAAACTAGCCATAGAAACCAGATATATACGTATATATATATATAATTATATATATATATATGTGCGTGTGTTATATATTTAGCATTGTGTGCGTTACGTGTAAATTTGTATATACATATATACATATATATATATATATACACATGTATACAGTATATATATATATAAAAATATATATATATATACATGTAATCTGCAAAATCATCCCAATGTAATACCCATGTTCACCCATGGTTTCTGAATAGTTCAGACCTCATTTTTCTCATCCTGGCCGCATCCAGCACCGAGTCACGGTCAGTTCCAGTAGTAAATGACAAGAACCTCGGAAGCGCCGATGAGATCGCTGGGTATCCAGTTATGGGTGTTGTTGTTACTTGTTGTTGTTGTTGTTGTTGTTGTGGTTGTTGTGGTTGTGTCTCCTTTTCTTGCAAGCCAGGGGTGCCCATTTGCATAGGTCACCAAGACATGGGCATAAGTTGGGTTCAGACAAATGGTTACATGTTATATTGTATACACCTGATGATCATCGAGACTATTATTTTTTACATTAAATCAAACATATTTAATATAATGTAATATAATATAATGTAATGAAAAAAAAATAATAGAAAAATAAAACACATAATATAATATATAGATAATATATAAATTAAAATATATGATATATACTATAAAATATATAAATAATATATGTTATATAGTATATAATATATAATATGTAATATACAATGTACAATACGGAAAAATAAAAAAAAATATAATAAAAAATATATAATGTACAATATCTAAATATATATAATATAATCTAATATATTATATATAATACATAAAATATAATATATAATATATTTAAAATAATATATAGTATACAATATATGATATATAATATACAAGATATAATATACAATATTATATATATATAATATATGCGTATATAATATCATAGATTTCACAGTTATCATCAGTTATCTATAGACCCCCTATACGGATAAGTGATCAGCTTTCAAACGTTTTTGGTTGGTGACTTCAACGTTTCGCGTGTCAACCGCCGTCCGTCCGTCCAGGGAACTTTTTCAGGTGATCGATGTCAAAGGATTCCAGGATCTTCCAGAAGTCCTCCAGAGGAATTTTGGGCCATTTTTAATAGCTTTTTATGGGTTATGGTGGTTCAATGGGATCTAATATGGTTATGCTGGAAAATCTACTATTTTATAGATGGAAAATGGGATTTTATCATATTTTATCATCAAAACCTCCATGGCTCAGGATTTTCCCAGCTGCCCGGCCTGTTCAACTGACAGTTTGCGAACTTGAAAATGACCCAGTCGAAATAGTGGATTTTCCCATTAAACATGGTGATGTTCCATAGTTTTTTGTTAACGTTTACCAGAGGGTGGTTATTACTGGTTATAAGATCATACATTCCATAAATGGGGTTCTAAGTACTTCAAACTGGTAAAGGGCCATGACTGTAGGATTTTTGTCCAAGGTTTCTTGTTGATACGTTGAAGTTATTTGAAGTTAAAGAGAGCAAATTTCTGGGTCGTACACATCACTACACCCAAATTTCAGGGACTTAGGATCAACCCTGAAATAATCCCAAGTCCATATTATCACTATTAGAGTGAAATCCATATTCTCTTTAGGGAAATATGGAGTCTAGTGAACAATAAGAATTCCACGGATCTTCCGAAACCAGGAGAAACCTTTCACCATTCTCAGCTCTCTCCGAGTCCTGGATGTATGGATCATCTTTGTCGTAGCCTGATGTTGGGGCCCATGGCTGTCATGGCTGTCCCAGGGTCTACTGGTTGGTGGTTGAGCCTACCCCTCTGAATGGAAAAAAAAAACATGTTCCAAACCACCAACCAGTCAATCATGGTTTATTGAAAGTTTCAATGCGTTTGAAGCCATGAATCATTCCGATGGCAGCCATCAGCCATACGGTGGGTGGTTGCGAAATCCTGCACCACCAAACGGATGGTGTAAACCCAAATTAAATAATGGGATGTTTACCACCTATCAACTGATGCAGGAATTCTTCCATCCACAGTATCATTCCCAATGCATCATCACTTCATGTCCCAAAATCATCCAACTTCCCACATCATTTCAGACTAAGATCATCCATTCATTCCCAAAAAATCCCGAGTTTCAAGGCTCATTCTCCAGCCTAGGATCATCTAACGTTGAAACATCTTTCGAAGCATTTGGAAAAACATCATTTCCACGGATCGAAGGTTTCATCCTAAAAAAATCGACATATGCGAACCCATTCAAATAGGCACACCGGTCAGGACATGTATCCGGGCAGAAAATTTGCCCGGGGCAATCCTCAGATGTGCTCATTGATATTGCCATAATTCATGTTCGGGGAAAAAACAAAAACATCTTGGACAAAGGCATACCCTCTGGTAAACTAACATAACTATGGAAATCACCATGTTTAATGGGAAAATCCACTATAAGTGGCCATTTTCAATAGCTGTAACAAATTACCAGAGGGTACTTCCAGGACTTCAACTACATAATTTCATATAATTTCACCTTTCTTCATCTTTTAACTACACATTTTCACCTATTTTCTATGTTTTTCTCCCCCTTTTTTCTGGTCCCCCTTTTTTGTCTCCCCATGGCACCATCCCAACCGCCCAACCCCGCCTTCATAGTGCGCCAGCTGACGCAGCTCCGAGGCCTCCAGGCCCACCTCGCAGCAGATGATGAGATGCGCCTCCGCGACGATCGGTGGTAGGTGACCCCCTACTTGGTGGCTCATCCCAATTAGTAAGTGGGTCATAATCCCCATAAAAAACTATAGTTATATCCCTATAGCCTATAATCATATGTATATATATATATATATGTATCTGGTTGGTGGTTTCAACCTACTCCTCTGAAAAATGATGGACTTCGTCAATTGGGATGATGACATTCCTAATATATGGAAAGTCATACAATTCATGTTCCAAACCACCAACTGGATCCCCATTAACTATAGTTATATCCCTATAGTCATAGGTTATTAAGTCTAATATATGTTTATATCTATGGCTTTGGAGGAATCATCCCACTAAGTCACTGTTTAGTAACCATCAAAGCCATTAAGAATATGGGGATGGGTCAAAACCTATCACTCTATATCACTATCATATTTGGGGGGATCAACTTCCATTATAGCCAGCTATGATTTAGGGTACTATCCGAGTAGGCGTTTGACTCAGAAGCATATAGATGGGATAAGCCCAATGAGCCAACTAGGGATAGCTCAGTTTGTGAACATAACTTCAATAACTATGGTTTATGATACCTAAAACGAACTAGTAAACAAATGGGCTCTATAAACCACCAAACATCACTGGGGCCCACATTGTACTTGGTGGATCTTGGTGGCTCATCCCAATTAGTAGGTGGGTTATAACCTCAGTTATAAGTGGGATAAATAGGGTGAATCCACCTATAGGGCTCAAATCCTGGTGGAAAACCATGAGGATTTTCCGGAAAATGGAGGAAACCCACATTGGACTGGCTTACCCTATATAATGGCGTGATCTCTGGAAAAGCGAAGTTGGGATTTAGCTACCATCGTGCAAAAAAAAAAACAATATAGTCACATGGCGAATTCTAACTAGTGCCAGAAACAGGTAAATTTGCGGCCAAACACCATGGATTATCATGTTCACCAACGGGAATTGCAGTTACCATGTACCTTGAGTTCTGCAAACATGAGATCAAACAAGGAATTCACCATCCAAAATGTTGCAGAAAACTGGGGATTCAAAGAAACAAATCTTGTTGGTGGTTTCAATCCCTCTGAAAAATATGAAAGTCAGTTGGGATGATTATTCCCCATATATGGAAAAATAACAAGATGCAACCCACGAACCCGAATGCTCACACGTATGTTAAAGGTACAGATGTCAAAACACATGGATATGCAACCACCCAGAACACTTTTCTGCACTAGTTTAATTGAACAGTCTCGTACATATTTCCCCTGTTACCAGTGTGCAGTGTGGAGTGTGGAGTGTAGCGTGAGGAGTGTGGAGTGTGGAGTGTGGAGTGGAAAGTGTGGAGTGAGGAGTGTGGAGTTTGTAATTTGTAGAATGTGGGGTGTGGAGTGTAGAGTGTACAGTGTAGAGTGTGGAGTGTAGAGTGTGGAGTAAGGAGTGTGGAGTGTGGAGTGTGTAAAGTGTAGATTGTGGAGTGTGGAGTGTAGAGTGTAAAGTGTAGAGTGTAAAGTTTAGAGTGTGGAGTGTAGAGAGTGAAGTGTAGAGTGTGGAGTGTGGAGTATGGCGTGAGGAGTGTAAAGTGTGGAGTGTGGAGTGTGGAGTGGAAAGTGTAGAGTGGGGAGTGTGAAGTGTGGAGTGTGAAGTGACGAGTGTGGAGTGTACAGTGTGGAGTGAGGAGTGTAAAGTGTAAAGTGTGGAGTGTGTAGTGTAGAGTGTGGAGTGTAGAGTGTAAAGTGTAGAGTGTGGAGTGTGGAGTGTAAAGTGAGGAGTGTGGAGTGTGTAAAGTGTAGAGTGTGGAGTGCAGAGTGTAAAGTGTAGAGTGTAAAGTGTAGTGTGTGGAGTGTGGAGTGTAAAGTGTGGAGTGAGGACTGTGAAGTGTAAAGTGTGGAGTGTAAAATGTAAAGTGTGGAGTGTAAAGTGTAAAGTGTAGAGTCTAAAGTGTAGAGTGTGGAGTGTAAAGTGTGGAGTGTGGAGTGTAAAGTGTCGAGTGAGGAGTGTAAAGTGCAAAGTGTGGAGTGTAAAGTGTGGAGTGCGGAGCTTCCCCCATAGACACGGCGACGCTACAGGAAAACCAGAGACTCGAGACGAGACACGTGGGTGCAGAAAAACGAGCATTTCGTGCGAGACTCCCTCCAATTTTGACATTTTCGACACGTTATCAAACAGGTTGGAATGTCACAAAGTGCCACGCCTGCAACGCAAAACGACATGACAACCTGCTTGGAAACCTTCGAAAAAGATAGGTCTTGCAGCTTCCCCCATAGACACGGCGATGCCACAGGAAAACCAGCGACTCGAGACAGATGTTTCGTGCGAGGCTTCCGTCAATTTTCAGCACATCGCACAAAATGCTACGCCTGCCACGGAATTTGCACCTTGTCGCCATTTGACGCAGCCCTGACAATGCGATTCGCAAAAAACACACAACACGACACGTCTAAAGTGCTGCGCCTGCCACGCAAAATGACGATGGACACGTCCAAAGTGCTGCGCCTGGCACGAAAACTGCAACGCATCTTCTGAAAACGTCGCAAAAGTATTGCGCCTGCCACACAAAACGACTTTCGACACGTTACAAAACACGTCTGAATGTCACGAAGTGCCACGCCTGCCACGCGAAACGAAGCGAACGGTTGCGAACGGTTGCGGACGGTTGTGAACGGTTGCGACCGTGAACGCAACTTCGAGCGAACACACCCTCAGCCCCCAGACCCCCAGAGTGAAACGGGAACCCTTGCTACGCATTCGGGAAAAAATGTTCCAAACCACCAACCAGAAATCAAGTGGGGATAGAATCAATCTGAGGAGATCGAGCAAAGATCCGAGATTGCCGAAAGGCTTTAACCGTCCACTGCAGTCCACCCAAAAAGAAAGGCACGGCTCAAGCGCCTTAGCAGCAGCATCTGTCTTACAAAAACGTCTATAGAGTTTGTCACAAAAAACTTTGGTGAATAAATATGAATAAATGAGTATCAAAACAATATAGTTTCCAGCAAGAAAAACAGGAGCAATCATTACCCGATGGTGAACTAACAGTTTATAAATGTTTGTTATGGAGAATCACCATTTTCAATAGCTACAATGTGCCCCCCCAGTGATGTTTGTTAGTTTATAAAGCCCATTTGTTTACTAGTTCGTTATAGCTTTCATAAACCATAGTTATTGAAGTTATGTTCACAAACTGAGCTATTGGGCTTAACCCATCTATAAACCATAAGATGTTATAGGTATCATAAACCATAGTTATTGAAGTTATGTGGCCCCCAACACTATAAAACGCTATCGCCCCGAGTTTCGGGGATTCGCCTCCTCAGCGGTCAGAAAGGACCACAGCGCCTGAAGGGCGGCTTGGGATTTGTTCGTTGGATTTTTGTTGCCATGGGTCATGGGTTATCAATGGTTATCATCTATGATTGTCAAACATAAATCTATGTGGACTATTTTGTTTTTTTTCGGAATCTGTGGGAAGAATGTTTTGATTCATCAATCAACATGGGGTAATATGATATAATATGCACTCGGCGCCTGAATGACATGCAAAAAACACACGCTGACACATCAAAGTACAGCTCAATTGAGGCTCCAATTTACTCACTCATAGTGTACATATGTGTAAGTTATTCTAAAATACATGTTATCCAAATTGTGCTACTTATATCCATTTGCCCTTCATGTTGCTCAACATGGCGGGTATCACTCTACGAATACATTATCCATCACGGGGCGGCTTGGGAACCCCTTAATGATTCCAACTGCCTCCCCATATCTCTGTAACACATGTGGGTAACATTGATACTTCCCCATGGCTCCGTTCATCGCGGAGCAAATACCGACGTTGAGACATTGGGGACACCGCCCTCATTGGAACCAGTCATTGGTTGCATGGCTTTTTTGCGCTATCATCGTCTGAAGTTTTAAAGACTAAAACATGACGGGAAATCTGGAAAAATCCAGTAAATAGGTTATAAAGTCTGGACAGATTTGGGGATAGCTAACATAACAATGTGGGGCCCCCGTAAAAACGATAGCTTTCAGTTGGGGGCCACATAACTTCAATAACTATGGTTTATGATACCTATAACATCTTATAACCATAGTATTCATGGGCTTTATAAACCAACAAACATAACTGGGGGGCAACATTTTACAAGTTGGTTTATAAACCCCATGAATACTATTGTTACAAGATGTTACAAGTATCATAAACCATAGTTATTGAAGTTATGTGGCCCCAAACTGAACGCTATCGTTTTTTTTTACGGGGGCCACGCATTGTAGTTATAGCATGTTTAATCGTCCTACGCAATTGCGGCTTGTCCATACTTGGCTTTGTCCATACGGCTATGACATCCATCTCCTATTCCGACAGCTCAAAATGAAACCTGTCGGCAGCTTGTACCTATTGGACAGCTCATACACGTAATATTACCCACAGACGCCGTGTGTTGCCCAGACATTAACATTGAGAATGTCGTGCTGTCGAATATATGATAGGAGAGATTGCAGAAAATACTGCATATACGCAGTGTTTTCCAGTTTAGGATCCAAAGTTTTCAGAGCCTAGGTTTTAGGGTTTCGAGTTTTAGGCTTTGGATTTTTAGGGTTTGGGGTTTTAGGGTTTAGGATGGTTTAGGGTTTTAGGGTTTAGGGTTCGTCGTCTGGGAAATCTCAAAACACTGGCCCTGCGAAGGTGTTTGAGCATGTTGAAGGATAATGTTTAAACATGTTTAGACACCATTTGAACCTTCCGGGCAACACACAGCGCCTGGCCGTAATATTATTGGTTATATTATTGGTTATAAGTATCAGCTGTATCGCTGAAAACCACTATGACTGAGTATTTCCCAAAAAAAAGGGCTACCCCTAGTTATCATCCATTTAAATAGGATGTTCCTTTAATTATATAAACCATCTAGCTATTGGGGTATCCCCATTTACGGAAATCCAAAATCGTTGCCAACGTTGCCATCCCCAACGTTCGACTCAAGCCCGTAGATGATCGACGTCCCCTGAGCTTCTGAGCTTCCGAGCCGAGTCAACAACCTTCTCAAAGCCTGATGGAAAGACCCGGGATCTATCAACGCCCTCCAGTTTTTTGAGGGAAACAACACATATGGGGGTTTCGGGGTACCCCAAAATTGATGATTTATAAGGGAAAATCAAATTAAAATGATGATTTAGGGGTACCCCGATTTATTGAAACCACCATACTTTGTCCCGCTAAATCTGGAGAAAACAGGAACTTTTTTGCGGAAATTGCACCATGAAATCGGATTTACCAACGAACCTAGGGAAAAGAACAGGTTCCACTCCTAGTTGACATTAAATCAAAGATGGGATGAAACTAGACAGCTGCACATAAAGACAGGTGAAGTCGACCACACAGAACTAGTAGGAGAGGCTTAAGTAAAGATGAACATGGCTCAGGCATAGAGTACTGTATATCTCCCCGGAATGATGTCGCGGGCATCAATAAAAATTGGTCACACAATCCCTTAAGAACTTTGGCGGGGTGTCAACAGTCCAAGAAAGCAGATTCATAAGACGTAAACATCATAAATCATCATAAATTGTCATATTGAGAATTCAATAAACATCATAAAACAGATTCATTTTCATCACTTCAAACTTCAAACCATCATAAAACGTTAAATTCGCGTCCGGGACGCTTCTTCCGATGCTTTGTTCAACCCCAGTGCTATGTCCGACGGGGTTCCCTCCGCCCTATCCAGCACGATGCGGGTTTATGATACAAAAGCTAGGTACCTACATATGCAATTGTCTACAAAAGCATTATATATACATATATATATATATATGATACGTGTGTATATATATATATATATAGGGATTATAAACCCATGATGGATTATTACTCAATGGAATAAGACAATCAGGTCCCCACGATAGTCATGTTGCTGGCTGGGTCCCTTGTGTCGGTCTGCTGGTCGGTCTGCTGGCAGGCTGGGTCTCCCGACCCTGTGCCAGGAGTTTGAAGTGCCGTTCAATGGAGGTCTCCAGAAGCCACTGGCAATAGAGATCCACCTGTTTGGAGGAAACCGATGGGCCAAAACATTTCAGGCCGAAGTTTACCACACGACTAAGCCGCCATTGTTTAATATTAACTATGAAAATCATCCAATTTCAGGGGTTAAGTTTTTCCCGCATCTCCATTTAACATCATTTAACTCTTAAAACTGGAAATGTGGACCGGATACCAGACTAACGGAGATATGATGAAATCGGATTTACACCAACAATTTAAGGGCCGTGCTTGAACATGTTCAAATAACCTCACTTTTTTGGTCGGACAAACCCTATTTCAGGCCCATGGGGACAGCAGACCATGGGAAGATGCTGTGATGACCCATGGTGACACTGAAGAAGACAACATGCACTGCTCCTAAATAAGCTAAGAACATGCCCATATGCAACCTATGGTGCTGGAATATGCACACCAACATTTGCCCTTGTCCAAAATCACCCGGTCATGTCGGTAAATATGCCAGCACCATGGGTTGCATATAGGATGAAATATCATGAAATGGAAAAATCAACATGTTATAAGGTTTTGCAGCCGATAGGGGGTCTTTGGAATTGGATTCTAGGGTCCTTGGTGATTTAGTTCTACCTCTGATTGTGTGATATATGTTTTCCATTATTTATTCTTTATCTATCTTCTCTATCAAGGTAGGTGGCCTTGGTATATACTAATGAAAATGATCCCAAAGGAAAGATCGTCTTGGGCTAGTGTCCCTTGGATGTTTCAATATATTGTTACTTCTTATCCGCCATTCGGCAATCATGCCAAGATGGGGGTTGATAATTAGTGTCTCCATCCATTTACCCTTCTATTCGTGGAAGTGCCAGTCAGAACAAACGATCACCATTCGATCGTAGTTCAAATAGTTTTTTTTGGTTGGGTACTTTGATAAAATATTAAATATATTTTCTATATATATATAAATATATATCAAAATATGCAGCCGATAGGGGGTGTTTGGAATTTGATTCTAGGGTCCTTGGTGATTTAGTTCTACCTCTGATTGTGTGATATATGTTTTCCATTATTTATTTCTTTATCTATCTTATCTATCAAGGTAGGTGGCCTTGGTATATACTAATGAAAATGATCCCAAAGGAAAGATCGTCTTGGGCTAGTGTCCCTTGGATATTTCAATATATTTTTAATTCTTATCCGCCATTCGGTAATCATTCCAAGATGGGAATTGATAATTAGTGTTTCCATCCATTTACCCTTCTATTCGTGGAAGTGCCAGTCAGAACAAACGATCACCATTCGATCGTAGTTCAAATATTTTTTTTTGTGTTGGGTACTTTGATAAAATTAAAAAATATTATATATATATATGTATCAATATATGCAGCCGATAGGGGGTCTTTGGAATTTGATTCTAGGGTCCTTGGTGATTTAGTTCTACCTGTGATTGTGTGATATATGTTTTCCATTATTTATTTCTTTATCTATCTTATCTATCAAGGTAGGTGGCCTTGGTATATACTAGTGAAAATGATCCCAAAGGAAAGATCGTCTTGGGTTAGTGTCCCTTGGATGTTTCAATATTATTAATTCTTATCCTTCTTTCGGTAGTCATGCCAAGATGGGGGTTGATAATTAGTCTCTCCATCCATTTACCCTTCTATTTTGGAAGTGCCAGTCAGGACAAACGATCACCATTCGATCGTAGTTCAGATAGTCTTTTTTTTGGGGTTGGTACTTCGATAAAATATAAAATAAAATATTGTTATGCGACGGATGTGCGGATGCGACGGATACGGGGTCCCCCAAGCCAAAAGATCGGCAATTTTTTTTTCCTAAATCTCAAAATCAAGGACCCCGAATGGTCAACGCGTCATCTGCGCACATTGAAAGCGAGTCATCTGCGCACATTGCAAACGAGTCATCTGCGCACAGAGAAACCGCGTCATCCGCGCACAAAGAGCGGTCATCCGCGCACATTGAGGCTGGGAACCAGCCATTTCGGGTTTGGTTGGGGGGGGTGGGGTGGGGTGGGGTGGGGTGGGATGATAACGTTCATGTTCCTATGCACACACAGGCACAGCAACCTCATCATCTTTCTTCCCGTAGAGCAGAGACAGGCACAGCTCTTTCATGATCAGTTACCGGTGGGGTGGGGTGAGTTAATAAGGTTCATGTTCCTATGCCTGCACACGCACAGCAACCTCATCATCTTTCTTGCTGTAGAGCACTTACACGCACTGCTCTTTCATGATCAGTTACCCGTGGGGTGGGGGGGGTGGGGTGGGGTGGGGTGGGATGATAACGTTCATGTTCCTATGCCCACACAGGCACAGCAACCTCATCATCTTTCTTCCCGTAGAGCAGAGACAGGCACAGCTCTTTCATGATCAGTTACCGGTGGGGTGGGGTGAGTTAATAAGGTTCATGTTCCTATGCCTGCACACGCACAGCAACCTCATCATCTTTCTGGCTGTAGAGCACTTACACGCACTGCTCTTTCATGATCAGTTACCCGTGGGGTGGGGGGGGTGGGGTGGGGTGGGGTGGGATGATAACGTTCATGTTCCTATGCCCACACAGGCACAGCAACCTCATCATCTTTCTTCCCGTAGAGCAGAGACAGGCACAGCTCTTTCATGATCAGTTACCGGTGGGGTGGGGTGAGTTAATAAGGTTCATGTTCCTATGCCTGCACACGCACAGCAACCTCATCATCTTTCTTGCTGTAGAGCACTTACACGCACTGCTCTTTCATGATCAGTTACCCGTGGGGTGGGGTGAGTTAATAAGGCTCATGTTCCTATGCATACACACGCACAGCAACCTCATCATCTTTCTTCCCGTAGAGCAGAGACAGGCACAGCTCTTTCATGATCAGTTACCGGTGGGGTGGGGTGAGTTAATAAGGTTCATGTTCCTATGCCTGCACACGCACAGCAACCTCATCATCTTTCTTGCTGTAGAGCATTTCCTCGCACTGCTCTTTCATGTGAGATGAGTTGTGTGAAAGAACTTGGGTGAACTTCAGTGAGAGAACACGAAAGCAGCTCCACCAAATGGCACACGAAAGCAGCTCTTGAGTGAGTTGAGTTGTGTAAGATGAGTTGTGAGAGATGAGTTGTGTGAGATGAGTTGTGTGACTTGTGAGATGAGAGGAGTTGTGTGAGTTGTAAGATGAGCGGAGTGGTGTGAGAGGAGTTCTGTGAGTTGTGAGATGAGTGGAGTTGTGTGAGATGAGTTGTGTGAGTTGTGAGATGAGTTCTGTGAAAGAACTTGGGTGAACTTCAGTGAGAGAACACGAAAGCAGCTCCACCAAATGGCACACGAAAGCAGCTCTTGAGTGAGTTGAGTTGTGTAAGATGAGTTGTGAGAGATGAGTTGTGTGAGATGAGTTGTGTGACTTCTGAGATGAGAGGAGTTGTGTGGGATGAGTTCTGTGAGTTGTGTGAGACAACTTGGGTGAAGTTGAGAGAGAAAGAAGCAACTCAGGAGGAGAAGGAGGAGAAGGCAAGGAATACAAACCTAAAAGCAAAAGCCCCACACAGAGATCTGAGGAAAAACACATAACTTGATGAGTTGTGTGATGATGTTTAAAAAAAAGCTAGAAGAAGAATCATGTTACAGAGATACAATGACAAAATCACACAACAAAAACGTGCACAGACGACCAACCGTCTGACGTGCACAAACGACCCACTTTTGACGTGCACAGACGACCCCTGAACCCCCCGAATCCTCTGCGGCAAAAATCATGGTAGAATATAATAGTAGGGCTGTTTCCCAAGTCCACATGCCAATTTCTGCACCCTGAGATCGGCATTTTTTTTTCCTAAATCCCAGGGTACAACCTCTGTATTGCCCAAGTCTAGGTGCAGATTTTTGCGACCTTACTTAGGCAATACCCCACCAAGCACCTAGGATATCGTCAAAAAAAAAAAATCCTAACTCAGGGTGCTGATTTCTGCGCCCTGACTTCGGCAAATTAGCTATTGGACATTGCATTTAAAGGATATACGATGTAGACGTAGAAAGAATGGGGGAAATTTAGTACTTGAAAAAAATAATGACAATCAGGGATAACATTGGTGGCTTTATACCAAAGGTATATGGGGGCACCGCCCTAGAAAAAACAAGAGCGTGGTTGATACCTTTTCCATTTTGATCCAGCAATTGGTTGGTACCCTTCAGAAATGGTAGTGGGCCCCAGCTAATCCAAGGAATAAAATAAAATAACCGTAACCGATACTTGGATGATATCAATTTAGCCAACCAAGTGGTTGCCTAAGAGTGAACATAATAATGCACATAGAATTTTCTATGAGCATGGTAAAAAACAAATAGTTACATTAAATAACCAATGGTAAGATGATACCCATTTAATCAACCAATTGGTTACCTCATAGGGAAAATAATAAAGTACCTACAATACAATTCAATTCCATTATCATATATTAAATATTTGGAAAGACCCAAGAATCCATTTCCAGAGAACCCAGATCAATTGCACAACATAGATATAATATATTCTATATTTTATTAAAGTACCCAACCCAAAAAAAAAACTATTTGAACTACGATCGAATGGTGATCGTTTGTTCTGACTGGCACTTCTACGAATAGAAGGGTAAATGGATGGAGACACTAATTATCAATTCCCATCTTGGCATGATTGCCGAATGGCGGATAAGAATTGACAATATATTGAAACATCCAAGGGACACTAACCCAAGACGATCTTTCCTTTGGGATCATTTTCACTAGTATATACCAAGGCCACCTACCTTGATAGATAAGATAGATAAAGAAATAAATAATGGAAAACATATATCACACAATCAGAGGTAGAACTAAATCACCAAGGGCCCTAGAATCAAATTCCAAAGACCCCCTATCGGCTGCATATATTGATACATATATTATATAATATTTTTTATATTTTATCAAAGTACCCAACCCAAAAAAAAAAACTATTTGAACTACGATCGAATGGTGATCGTTTGTTCTGACTGGCACTTCTACGAATAGAAGGGTAAATGGATGGAGACACTAATTATCAACCCCCATCTTGGCATGATTGCCGAATGGCGGATAAGAAGTAACAATAGATTGAAACATCCAAGGGACACTAGCCCAAGACGATCTTTCCTTTGGGATCATTTTCATTAGTATATACCAAGGCCACCTACCTTGATAGATAAGATAGATAAAGAATAAATAATGGAAAACATATATCACACAATCAGAGGTAGAACTAAATCACCAAGGACCCTAGAATCCAATTCCAAAGACCCCCTATCGGCTGCA